AAAATAGAGTAACATCTTGAACAGCCAAGTAGCTCTTTTATTCATTTTCAATAATCATGTAAAAATGGAACCACAAATTGATTTACGCATGTGGCACTTTTGAAATAAAAATGAAGAAATCTTCTCTTTTACAGAGTTCAATTCGTCAAGGAATTACAGCAACATTTTGTATGTTCTGTTAATATTTTGTTGAGTTTTAACTATTTCTCTGTTTTGTAACATTTCCAATGAGATTTGACTGATTTTTTTAAAAAAGGTTTATGCTAATGTAGCATATATTTTACCCTGAAGGACAAGGAAAATACACCCATTAAACTGAATAATGTAGTAGTTTTAATGACCAGAATGGGTCATTCAGGAATGTAGCTGTACTTCTCTCCAAAATGCCTATTTCAACCATTCTGGCCTTTTTGAGAGTAGATTTTTTTTTTAGTCATAGCTTCCCATAACTCTTGCACCTTTAATCTATACCTTGACTTCTGCTGGAAACATTCTCACTTCTGCTCCATTCTAAATTACCATCCTTCTCTCCACTTTGTACTTCCCTCAAGCTATTGTTCTATTGTTCTCTTCCACTTTACCACCAAATCATGAAAGAGCCTTCCAGAGTCCCAGCTTTCATTCTCTCAACGCCTGCTCACAGAACTCTTCAAAATATGGCTTTAAGCACAGCATTTGGAATAATCTCTACTTCTTGCAGAGAAAAAGGGGAAATGTTATTAGAGAGAAGTATACGGATGGTTTCAACCTTATTAATACTTTTCTATTTTTTTTTTCTTTTTTTTTTGAGACAAGTTCTCGCTCTGTTGTGAGGCTGGAGTACAGTGGCGCGATCTTGGCTCACTGCAACCTCCACCTCCCAGGTTCAAGCGATTCTCTTGCCTCAGCCTCCTGAGTAGCTGAGATTACAGATGTGCACCACCACGCCCAGCTATTTTTTGTATTTTTAGTAGAGACGGGGTTTCACCATGGTGGCCAGGATGGTCTTGATCTCTTGACCTCGTGATCCACCTGTCTCTGCCTCCCAAAGTGCTGGGATTACAGGCGTGAGCCACCGCACCCGACCGAAATATTTTATTTTATTTTATTTTATTTTATTATTTATTTATTTTTTTTTTTTGAGACGGAGTTTCACTGTTGTTACCCAGGCTGGAGTGCAATGGCGCGATCTCGGCTCACCGCAACCTCCGCCTCCTGGGTTCAGGCAATTCTCCTGCCCCAGCCTCCTGAGTCGCTGGGATTACAGGCACGCGCCACCATGCCCAGCTAATTTTTTGTAGTTTTAGTAGAGATGGGGTTTCACCATGTTGACCAGGATGGTCTCGATCTCTTGACCTCGTGATCCACCCGCCTCGGCCTCCCACAGTGCTGGGATTACAGGCTTGAGCCACTGCGCCCGGCCAATATTTTATTTTTTAAAGTAGCTTCTACCATCGTTATTCTGCTAAAACTGTCACTGGTGATCATCTGGTTGCCACAATCAATGGTTTTTCCCCCATTGTAACTTTCTAAAATATTTGATGCTATTGATTAAACTTTCTTTGTTTGAAATTATTTTTTATAATAAAGTAATATATACTTATTATAAAAATACAGACAATGCAGTGAAAAATAAAGAAAAAAAAGCTTTGATTTGCATTATTCTCATTACCTGGAGGTAGCCACTGTGAGCATTTTTTTATTGCAAGTGTTTGTGTCTGTATTCACATTTCTACATGGTAGAGTTACCATTTTTATTCTGATTTTCCCTCTTAATATTAAAGGCATTTCCCCAAGTCATTTTACTATTCTTCAAAAACATAATTTTAAATAGCTGCATAATATTATTTATTTAACTACTTCCATTCATTAGAACAATCACTCTGTTGATCCTCCAGGACAACATTCACTGAATCCTTACCATGTTCCAGCCAGCATTCAAAGTGCTTTACATTTGTTGTCTTATTTTGCCTGTGGCTTAAGTAGTATCATCATTCCCTATTGGACAGAAGATAAGAGCTCAAGAAATCAAACAAGGAAGAGGTGGTTTCTATTTGCCAATGCTATTTATGTCTTTTGCCAATTTTTTTCTCACTTCCTCTAATTGGTCAAATTTTTTGACCTCAACTGCTCACTCTCGGCACACTACCAAAGCTAAACCTGTGTTCCCAACTTCTTTCCTAAACTCAATAGTTTTACACTTAACTGCTTCCTGGTCTTCTACCTTAGGATAGTCACAAGACACCTCAAGCACAAGATAGCCCAAGCTATCCTTCCCTTCACAAACCTGCTTTTACTGCTTTCCTCCCCCTAGGTCAGTTAGTGGCCCTCTTTTCCTTTTAGCTCCTGTTCATACAACTTAGACATCATCTTTCATTGTCTAGTCAATTGACAAGGCCTGTCCTATCTCCTTAATATTTTCCACAACTCTTCTTATTTCTCCATTTCCTTAGCGACTTCTCAAATGAATCACCCATGAGCTCTCATCTAGACTATTTTAACAGCCTTCTGAGGGCTGTGCTGTATTCAGTCTCTTCTAAGGTCAGTTCATCCAGTCTACCATTGCTCTATTAATTTGGCTTCATTCTGTTTATACAATTTGCACTGGTGCCTCGTTCACCCAGACAAAGTCTAAATCTCTGAGCCTGATTTTTTTTTCCATTTATTGTATTGCATTTTAGGTTTTGGAGTACATGTGAAGAACATGCAAGATTGTTGCATAGGTACACGTGTGGCAGTGTGATTTGCTGCCTTCCTCCCCATCACCTCCATCTGGCATTTATCCCCTTGCTATCTCTCCCCAGCTCCACACCCACCACCGTCCCTCCCCTATTTCTTCCCAACTGACCCCTGTGTGTAGTGCTCCCCTCCCTGTGTTCATGTGTTCTTGAGCCTGATTTTTAAGACCTTATATTATCTGGCAAAACTCACTATCCTAACAAAATGATGTTTACAAACTCCTGTGCTTTGGCTCCTGTTCTTCTCTCTATTTAGAGTGTTTTAGCCACCCCTTCTTTACCCCTATCCTCCCACTCCACATTTTATTTGTTTAAAGGATGCCCTTCTGTCAACATTCATGTCAGTGCCACTCCTCCATGAATCTTGGCTCATCTCAATGTGGGACAAAACTCCTTCACCTTTGAGACGCTGAATAATTCTTTACTTTATCTTATTTTATGGGCCACTTCATTACCACTTTGTAGAACTGCAATGTGAGCAACAGTTTTGTGTCCTCTACCGAAAATATAAACTCATTGAGTGCAGGAACTGTGCATTATGCCCCTTTTTGACCTCTATGGCACCTAGCACAGTGCCTGGCACAAAAAGAATGCTCAGTGAATGCTTGTTGAACATGGAAATTAATAGCTTTGCTGATTAGTATAACATATTCGTATCATTAACTCTATTGCTTTTACTTTGAGTCTTTATAATTTTGCCTTGAGTATTGATTGATAATTCTGCTTCATTTTTATGCCTTATAAATAACTTATACTAGTCCCTCTCCTGAAGCCTCACTTGCAGTAACAAATCCCAAACCATTAGGTTGATGACAAATTGCCCACACATTTCCTTTCCGAGGAAATCAGTTCTCTAGCACTATTCAGAGAGGTAAATTCTAATTAGTGTGGGTTTATCTGAATAAAAAAAGGTTTATGGACTTTTTGGGTTACAAGTGACAGAAACTCAACTCAAAACAGCATAAGCCAAAAAAGATCTTCATTTGAAGGATAGCCCACAGAACCAGAGGAAGAATCAGTATGGTTCAGGAACCACCGTGATTCTGGAAATCTCAGAGCTTTAAACTAGGGACTCCCTTGCCATATAGACACTTTTACACTGTACTGAAATGCCAAGGATTTGGTCTAGGTTCTGCTGCTCACCAGACAGAAAGCCAACTGAGACAACAAGTATTACTGGGGAAGAAGGCTTTATTTGGGTGCTGCAGCCAAGGGGATGAGAGATCAGTCTTAAATCCATCTCCCTGACCAGCTAAAATTAGGGGTTTATGTAGCAGGGAAGAAATGTAACCATGAAGGAAAACAGGGATTAGGGAGAGGTAAGGAAGAGAAGTAAATCAACGGGAAGCAGATGATCAGTTAGGCAATCATGATTGGCAAGAGGTCTGATGTCTCATTGTCCAGATATGGTAATCTGTTAAGTTTCAGTTCACTGATACTATCTGAGAGGATTGATTGTTGGTTTCTTGAGACAGGAGCTCAGATAAGACAAATGTAACTTTCTAAAATTTCAAGACTGGGAGGGTCCATTTCTGTGTTTATTCCCTCTTGCTCTTTTTCTTGCTTCTTCTTTTTTTTTTTTTTTTTTTGATAAAAAAATGATTTTTTTTTGTTTAGAAGTTATTTAAATGTTGTTTCAAATTGAACTGGAAATGATATAGAAAAAAGTAAATAAACATAGAAAGTTGGGGAAAAAATTTTAATGGGTTGTAAAAGGTTTATGAAAATCTTATGTATTCAAAAGCTGACTGGGATTGAATTGGCTTGTTTATAAGTTTTTATTTTTTTTTATTGCATTTTAGGTTTTGGGGTACATGTTAAGAACATGCAAGATTGTTCCATATGTACACACGTGGCAGTGTGATTTGCTGCCTTCCTCCCCATCACCTATGTCTGGCATTTCTCCCCGTGCTCTGTCTCCCCAACTCGCCATCCTCCGCTGTCCTTCCCCTATTTCCCCCCAACAGATCCCAGTGTGTAGTGCTCCCCTCCTTGTGTCCATGCGTTCTCCTTGTTCAACACCCACCTATGAGTGAGAACATGCGGTGTTTGATTTTCTGATCTTGTGTCAGTCTGCTGAGAATGATGGTTTCCAGGTTCATCCATGTCCCTACAAAGGACCCAAACTCATCGTTTTTTATGGCTGCATAATATTCCAAGGTGTATATATGCCACATTTTCCCTGTCCAGTCTATCATCGATGGGCATTTGGGTTGGTTCCAAGTCTTTGCTATTGTAAACTGTGCTGCAATGAACATTCGTGTGCATGTTTCCTTATTTCTCTTGCTTCTGATTAATTTAACCCTGGCTTGTCTTGGCTTAATTTCATTCTCTCCAACTGGAGGTGGATGCAGACATTACAGGCAGAGACTGGAGACAAATGGAAAGGGAAAGCAAATCCAGGCAATGGTGAGTCCAGATCACCAGTCCATAAGATGAGCACCTGCTGTTCTGAGTATTTTCTCAAGCCATGGCAATCAAGCTAGGCTGCTAGTTTGCTTAAGATGACTGAAGTTAGTTTTATGATTTAATTCTAAGAGAGTCTCGACTAATGCAGTTAATTGATTTGGGAGTAAGTTAATAGAATACATTGACTTCAAAATAGGTTTAGTTAACACTTCATAATATTGAAATGTGTCACCAGAAACTGTGGGTCTGATTTTAGACCGCTCCAAAATTTTGAGTGATACTATAGGGTAACTTTCATGGTAGGCAGACTTTTTCATCTTTTTCATTATTTAAAATTTTTTTTTATTTTTTTCCAGTTTTACTGCACTATAATTGACATACAAAATTAGTATATATTTACAGTGTACAACATGATGTTTTGATAGATGTATACATTGTGAAATGATTACCATAGTCAAACTATCAACATATCCATTACCTCAAAGAGTTATCATCTATTTTTGTGGTGAGAACACTTAAGATCTATCTATTCTCCTAGCAAATTTCAAGTAAACAACACAACTAACTATAGTCACTATGCTATACATTAGGTCTCCAGAACCTGTATCACTGAAACTTGATACCCTTTGACCAACATCTCCCCATTTCCCCAACCCCTTCAGCCCCTGGAAATCACCATTCTTTTCTTTGCTTCTATGAGTTCAACTTTTTAAGATTCCACACATAAGTGAGATCATGCAGTATTTGTCTTTCGGTGCATGGTTTATTTCACTTAGCCTAATATCCTCCACTTCACTGGGTTGTCACAAATGACAGTTTCCTTCTTATTTAAAGGCTGAATAGTACGCCACTGTAAATATATACTGCATTCTCTTTTTCCACTTATTGGTCAATGGTTGATTCTATATCTCAGCTGTCGTGAATAAGGCTACTATGAACATGGAAGTGCAGATATCTATCTCTTTGAGATATTGGTTTCATTTCCTTTGTATGTACAGCCAGAGGTAGGATTTCTAGGTCATATGGTAGTTCTACTTTTAATTTTTAAGGATTCTCCAAACTGTTTTCCTTAATGACTGTATCAATTTACATTCCCAGCAACGTTGTGTAAGTGTTCCCTTTTATCCGTATCCTCTCCAATACTTGTTATCTTTTGTTTTATGAAGATAGCCATTCTAACAGGTGTGAAATAACATTTCATCCTGGTTTTGATTTGCATTTCACTGATGATTAGTGATACTGAATGTATTTTCATATACTGTACCTCTTAGTCACTTTTATGTCTTCTTTTGAGAAATGTCTACTCACAACCTTCTCCTGTTTAAAAATTTGGTTATTTGTTTTCTTGCTATTGAGTTGAGATCCTTATATATTTCAGATATTAGCCCCATATTAGATATATGACCATTGATGATCATTTTGGGTGATTCCATGTCATTGCTATTGTGAATAATGTTGTGATGAACATATGAGTGCATGTGTCACTTTGGTAAAATAATTTATTTTCCTTTCATTATGTACCCAGTAATGGGATTGCTGGGTTAAATGGTAGCTCTGTTTTGAGTTCTTTGAGAAATCTCCAAACTGTTTTCCACAGTAGCTGAGCTAATTTACATCACTACCAACAGTGAATAAGTGTTCCCTTTTCTCCACAGCCTTGCCAGCATTTGCTATTTTTTGACTTTTTTTTTTTTTTTTTGAGACGGAGTTTCACTCTTGTTACCCAGGCTGGAGTGCAATGGCGCGATCTCGGCTCACCGCAACCTCCGCCTCCTGGGTTCAGGCAATTCTCCTGCCTCAACCTCCTGAGTAGCTGGGATTACAGGCACGCGCCACCATGCCCAGCTAATGTTTTTTGTATTTTTAGTAGAGACTGGGTTTCACCATGTTGACCAGGATGGTCTCGATCTCTTGACCTCGTGATCCACCCGCCTTGGCCTCCCCAAGTGCTGGGATTACAGGCTTGAGCCACCGCGCCCGGCCTATCTTTTGACTTTTTAATAGTAGCAATTCTGACTGGTATAAGATGGTATATCTTACTCTGGTTTTAATTTGTACTTCTCTGATAATTAGTGATGTTGAATATTTCTTCATATGTTTTTTTGGTCACTTGTATGTCTTTTTTTTAGAAGCATCTGTTCATAAGTTTTGCTGATTTTTTAATGAGGTTTATACATTTTGCATATTTTTTATTTGTTTTTTGCTTGTTCAATTCTTTACATTTCTTATAGGTTCGGATATCAGACCTATGTTGGATGCATAGTTTGCAAATATTTTCTCCCATTCTGCAGGTTGTCTGTTTACTCTGTTAATAGTTTCTTTTGCATACAGAAGCTCTTCAGTTCAATTAGGTCCCATTTGTCAATTTTAGTTGACAAATTGCAATTGCTTTTGAGGACTTAGTCATAAATTCCTTCCCAAAGCTCATGTCCAGAATAATGTTTCTTAGATTTTCTTCTAGAACTCTTATAGTTTGAGGTTTTATATTTAAATCTTTAATCTATCTTGAGTTAATTTTTGTGTATGGTAAAAGCTAGAAGTTCAGTTTCATTCTTCTGCATATGGCTAACCAGTTATCCCAGCAGTATTTATTGATAAGGGAGTCCTTTGCCTGTAGCTTATTTTTGTCGATTTTGCCTAAGAACTGATGGTGGTAAGCGTGTGGCTTTCTTTCTGGATTGTCTATTCTCTTACACTGGTCTATGTGTCTGCTTTTGTGTCAGTACTATACTGCTTTGATTACCCTAGTCTTGCAGGATAGTTTGAAGTGAGGTAATCTGATGCCTCTGGCTTTGTTCTTTTTGCTTAGGATTGCTTTTACTACACAACTCTTTTTTAGTTCCTTTTTTTTTTTTTTTTGAGACAGAGTTTCACTCTTGTTACCCAGGCTGGAGTGCAATGGCGCGATCTCGGCTCACCGCAACCTCCGCCTCCTAGGTTCAAGCAATTCTCCTGCCTCAGCCTCCTGAGTAGCTGGGATTACAGGCACGTGCCACCATGCCCAGCTAATGTTTTGTAGTTTTAGTAGAGAGGGGGTTTCACCATGTTGACTGGGATGGTCTCGATCTCTTGACCTCGTGATCCACTTGCCTCAGCCTCCCACAGTGCTGGGATTACAAGCGTGAGCCACGGCGCCCGGCCTTTAGTTCCATATTAAATTTAAAATAGTTTTTTCTGATTCTATGAAAAATGACGGTAATTTGAGAGGAAGAGCATTGAATCTGTAGATCACTTTTGGCAGTATGCTCATTTTAATAATATTGATTCTTTCAATCCATGAGCATGGAATATTTTTCCATTTGTATCATCTGTGATTTCATTCAGCAGTGTTTTGTAGGCATTAACTCTTCTTTAAGTGTTTGGTAGAATTCACCAATGAAGCTTGCCAATTATCCCAACACCATTAGATGGATAGGGTGTCCTTTCCCCACTTTACGTTTTTGTTTACTTTCTTGAAGATCAGTTGGCTGTGTTTGGCTTTATTTCTGGGTTCTCTATTCTGTATCATTGGTCTACATGCCTACTTTTATACCAGTATCATGCTGTTTTGGTAACTACAGTCTTGTAGCATAGTTTGAAGTTGGGTAATGTGATGCCTCTAGATTTGTTCTTTTTGCTTAGCCTTGCATTGGCTACGTGGGCTCATTTTAGATTCAATATGAATTTTAGAATTTTAAAAATTTATTTGTTTAATTAATTAATTAATGTATTTCTTTTGAGATGGAGTCTCACTCTATCACCCAGGCTGGAGTGCAGTGATGTGATCTCCCTCTCTCCCTCCCTCCCTCCCTTCCTCTCTCCCTTCCCTCCCTCCCTCCCTTCCTTCCTCTCTCCCTTCTCTCCCTCCCTCCCTTCCTTCCTTCCTTCCTTCCTCTCTTTCTCCCTTTCCTTTCTTTCCTATCTCATTCTGTCACCCAGGCTGGAATGTAGTGGTGCAATCACAGCTTACTACAGCCTTTACCTCCTGGATGAAGTGATCCTTCCACCTCAGCCTCCTGAGTAGCTGAGACTACAGATGGGCACCTCCATGCCCAGCTAATTTTTTCTATTTTTTGTAGAGATGGGGTTTTGCTATGTTGCCCAGGCTGGTCTCAAACTCCTGGGCTCAAGTGATCTTCCTGTCCTGGCCTCCCAAAGTGCTGGGATTACAGGTGTGAGCCATAGTGCCTGCCTTAACATGTTTTCATGATGTTAGCTAGTATCCTTTTATTTGAACTTAAAGAACTCCCAGTAGCACCCAGTAGCATTTCTTATAAGGTAGGTATAGTGGTGATGAATTCCCATAGCTTTTGTTTGTCTGGAAAGTCTTTATCTCTTCTTCATATTGGAAAGATGGCTTTGTCAGGTATATAGTATTCCTGGTTGGCAGTGTTTTTCTTTTCTCCTTTTAGCACTCTGAATATATATTATTCCACACTCTCCTAATCTGTGAAGTTTGTGCTGAAAAATCCACTGATAGTTTAATGGATGTTCTCTTGTATGTGGTGAGTCATTTTTCTCTTTCTGCTTTCAAAATTCCCTTGTTGCCTTTACTTTTGAGAATTTGATTATAATGTGTGTCAGTGAAGATTTCTTTATATTTAAACAGTTTGAGGTCCTTGGGTTTTGTGGAACTAGATGTTCACTTCACTTTTCAAATTTGGGAAAATTTTGGTCATTATTTGTTTAAATAAGCTTTCTCGCCTCCCTTTTTCTGTGCTGCTTCTTACACTTCCACAATGCAAAAACTGGTTCATTTATGTCTCATAAGTCTCTCAAAATTTCTTCACTCTTTTACTTTTTCTCTCTCTCTGAAACTGGGTAATTTCAAATGACCTGTCATTTAAGCTTGCTGATTTTTTTTATGCCTGATTGAGTCTGCTGTGGAAGCTGTCTATGGAATTTTTCAGTTTAATCATTGTGTTCTTCAGCTCCAGAATTTTCTTTTGGTTCTTTTTTTATGTTCTTTGTATTTTTTGTTGAACTTCTAACTTTGATCGTGCATTGTTTTTCTGATTTTCTTTAGCTGTCTATCTGTGTTCTCATACATTTTATTGAGCTACTTTAAGACAGTTATTTTGAATTCTTTATCAGGCAGTTCATAAATCTTATTTTTTTTTTTCTTTTTCTCCTTCCTTCTTTCCTGCCTTCCTTTCTTCCTTCCTTCCTCCCTTCCTTTTTTCTTTCTTTTGTTGTTATTGAGATATGGTCTTACTCTGTTGCCTAGGCTGTAGTGCAGTGGCACAATCATGACTCGCTGCAGCCTCAACCTCCTGAGCTCAAGCAATCCTCCCACCTCAGCCTTTTGAGTAGCTGGGGCCAAAGGTGCATGCCAGCACGTCTCACTAATTTTTGTATTTTTTGTAGAGACAAGGTTTTGCCATGTTGCTCAGGCTGGTCTCAAACTCCTGATCTCAAACTCAAGCAATCTACCCACCTTGGCCCCCCAAAGTGCTGGGCTTACAGGCATGAGTCACCATGCCTAGCCACATCTTCATTTCTTTAGAGTCGGTCAGTGGTTTTCTACTTTGTTTTTTTGTTGATGCCATGTTTTCCTCATTATTCATGATCCTTGTGACTTTTTATTGGTGTCTGTGCATTTGAAAAAGTAAGTATCTCTTCCAGTCTATACAGACTGGCTTTGGCATGGAATACCCTTCATCAGTTAGCCCATAGAGAGATTCTGAAAAGGACCTCTGGTAGGGTCCATAGTTGAACTTACTGCTGGTTTTTTCAGTGGCATGGCCTAGTGACTAAGTTAGTGGGCAGATGTACCTGACATTTGGGTCTGTAGAGATCAGCCTGGTGCCTGCATTCATGGGTTAAGCCCCTTATCCATGGCAACTGACCTTGGGCTGGTGTCCATTGGAGTGGACCTAATGACTGTGTTCCTGTACCTTATGTCCACAGGGGCTGAACTGAAGCCTAGTTCCAAGGGTGCTGACCTGGTATTGAGGTGGGTCTTGAGTCTGAGTTGCAGGGATGGACTGGGTTGTGTGACCACCAGGGTTGGCCTGTCATTAGGATCCACTGGGAGGGCCTGGCACCTGTGTTCCTGGGAACCAGCTTGAAGCCTGAGACCATAGTTGTGGGCTTGAATCCTGGGTTTCCTGGGGCTGGTCCAGTGCCAAAGTCTACTGGGGTGGGCCTCTAGCCTAGGTGTGGGCACTGGCTTGGAGCCTCAGTCCATTGTAGACAGACTGGAATCTGGGGCTATAGGGTTTAGTCTGGCTCTAGGGAAGCCTAGGAATCAGAGTCCCTGAGGCGGGGCTGGAGCCTGGACCATAAAGGCTGTCCTGGTGCTGGGGTAGGCCTGAAGCCTGAGATTGCAGCAGTTGGTCTACTGCCAAGGTTCAGAGGAGGACCTGGTGCTGGGGTTTGCAGCAAAGTCTTGTGCTCATTTCACTCTCCATTTGCCATGCAAAGGAGAGAGAAGGTAACTTTCTCCACACAGTGCTGTTTGGCCTTAGGAGAGGCATGGCATGCTTGCTCAATGTAAAACTGTCCTTTCCTTCCCTCTTCAGTGAATCTTTTTTTATTTCTGTGCTCCACCCAGGTGGTATATTCTCTTGCTTAGATTCTTTAGCTCTTGGGAAAGCATTTTAGTATGGGTAGTTGTTCAAATTGATGCTTCTGCTAGGGAACTATGTTGGGAACTCCTATTCAGCCATCTTACTGATGTCATCTTTCATCTTTAAACAAATTAACATTTAAGAAGAAAAAAAATTCCTTCCTCCAAACTTTTTTTTTTTTTTTTT